AGTCAATTTCATCCTCAGAATGCATTGATGTCGATGAAAGGATGTGGCCGAGTGCCACCCTCGTTTTTGAAATGAGTTTTGAAGGTCTTTTCTCGAAGTTTACATACCTACCAGAGCCGTTACAATGAGCAGACAAAACAGCGAGGAGATGAAAATCAGATGAATGAGAAACTCACTCGTTTTTGTGATGCCTTCCGGCGTTGTCTCTCCCTGAGGCCGCGTTCCTTTCGGTTTCTTTGTTCTGAGTTTTCAAGATCATCGCTAATTGGGGAAGAATAGTTTCGAGATTTGGTCACAAACCAACGCTCAAGGATTTGCCGAATGTTCTTTGGTGTCACTTGATCGGAGCGGATGTTGTATTCGTCTGCATCTCCGCGTTTGTAGCATTTCTCCCACTCCTGAAGGATGACAGCAAACATCCCTTCATTCCAAGCCGACTTGATCGAGCCAAACCAATCGAGGGTACATCGTGGATACCCAGAAAGAGCCAAAGCGGCTTCGCAGGTAGAAGCTACCGTGGTGGAATATTTGAGACCGCGACTTGATGTATGCGAAACTTGTGACACAAAAGGTGCACGCGTCAGGGTTGCGAGATGTGTCTCAACCGCGTGTTTTTCGACTTTGGCCAGTTGAGAACGTTTGGCAAGCGGATGGCGAAGAAGGTAGCGAGAACTTGCAGCCTTTGCACAATTTTCAATAATCCTTCTGCGCTCGGCTTTACGTTCAATCCATGTAATGAACTCCTTCTCGGAAGGGGGTGCAGGTAGACTTTGAGTGGATGTGGGTCTGCCCCGGCGCTTGCGCTCGATACCCATCATTAGCTTTACATAATCATGAATGGCGATTGCAAGTTGTTCGTACTGGGAGCATTCAGCGCGATTCCTTGCCAGCTTGTCCAATCGGACACCGTCGTGTCGTTGACGCGTTTGTTGAGCTAGACGTTCAGAGTTTTTAGTTTTGTACCTAAGGTCCTCCGCCAGATCAAAGACGCCATCACGGCTTCCTTCATCTGAAAGATCAGGATTGTCAAAATTATCGAAATCGTTGTCGTCATCGAGACCATTTGAATGCGTGTCTGGTGCACCCATATTATCTTGATACAGCGGTACTCATCAACATCAGGTGTACTATTTTGTAAGAAGATAGAAGACACAAAATTTGAAACTTACAGGTAGGTGAATTCATGGCATGTGCAGGTGTCTGATTGTGTTCATGTTGGAAATTTTGAACATGTGAAGAAGACATTGACATTGGTGAGTGTTGACGACTTGATATTGAGCCAGAAAATTGCTGTGTCTGAGGGAGTTGACACAGAGGAGTGTGGATTTGTGTCTGCTGGGGTAGACTGAAATTATGGGATGTCCAGGGGCAAAGGGGAGGTGTGGCATCTCTAGGTGGTTGGGGCTGTTGGGGAGGGATAGGAGGCCTAGGTAGATCGGTAGACATGCGGCTGCTGGGACGGCGGAAAAGCATATGTTGTTGGTGGGTGTGATCGGTAGACATGAGTTGTTGGTGCGTGGGATCGGTGGACATGCGGCTGCTGGGACGGCTGACAATCATATTTTGTTGATGTGTGTGATTGGTAGACATGCGGCTGCTGGGACGGCGGAAAAGCATATGTTGTTGGTGGGTGTGATCGGTAGACATGAGTTGTTGGTGCGTGGGATCGGTGGACATGCGGCTGCTGGGACGGCTGAGAAGCGTATTTTGTTGGATATCACGCTGGTGTGTGTGCTGTGGATTGTAATGATGCTGCATGTAAGGTGACATATGATATTGATGAGTGGGAAGAGCCATATCGTGATACGAGCTGTGTTGAGTGAAAAGATTGTGGGCCGGTGATGTCTGAGTATGTGGATACTGTTGTATACCACTGTGTTGTGCTGGAAGGTTAGACATATGAGCGGGTTGATCCCATGGACGCTGTGTGGGATAATCTTGATTCTGAGGCTGATTTGAAATTGAAGTTTGACGTTGTTCGAAGTTTGAAGTTGTTGAAGGTTGAAGTCGGTCTTTTTGTGAGGTCAAAAGTCCGCCATTGTGGCCAGACGGATTATACTGAGGAGAAGGACCGTTGATATCATTATGCGATCTCCAGTGACAAGCATTAGATAATGGAAATTGCCTGTACTGAGCAGGTTTATCAGGAATTTCAGGCGGAACAGTAGGTCGAGAGTTTGGTAGTTGGTTGTAAGTGTAATGAGGCAAAGCTGCTGTTCTGGAAGATTGTTGAGTTTGAGGTAAAGTAAGTGATGGTTGCGAAGTTCCGTCCGGTGGCAGGAATGTCGGTGGCTCTGGTTGAGCACTTCTAACATCAGGTATGGGTGAGCTTTGCACCGGAACATTTGATGAAAAAACCTGCTGAGAATCCACACACGGAGTTGAGATGTTGCGCTGCTGGCAAGTGGTTAATTGTTGAGAGGGTGACGCTATAGCTGTTGAGTGAGGCCTGTAGGAAGCTCCAAGTTGGGGAGACGGAGTATTTTTGGAGGAGCTTGAGGTTCGAGAGGTCGGTTCAGGCTGCGTGTGATCATTGGCAGAGGATTGAGGCGACCTTCGTGAATTGTATTGATTCATGATCTCTATTAATGCCGAGTTATGGTCTTCTGATGCACAATAAGGCACTTCGGATCTTGGATGTCGACTAGGCAGCAATACAGTGCTAGATAGGCTCAACGGTGGAGTAGTTGATTCGGAATTATCGGTATCTGCGTACTGCTCAGGGTTGCTTTGCTGTCCAGAGTCATCTAAATCACTTTGTGAATCGATCGTGTCCGTTGGAAGCCTGATCACAGTCACTGGCAGGGGTGTGGGGTGGTTGGTTTAATCCTGGATGGTCTTTGTTGAGATCAATAGGACAGCGTAGAGTTCCATCAGAAAACAAAAAACAAAAAAAAAACGAAGTAAAGTCAAATTATGGCACACTTTGTTCTTTGTCCACACCTGGTTCTTTAGACTGATGCTGGGGTGAGTCGAGCGTCCTAGGCGAGTTCAAAGATCCGCACCACCGCTTCGGCTGCGTTCCTTCTTGTTCTTGAGACAAGCATGATTGAGAACGCTTTCGCGAGTATTTTGTCATCTCCTCATATGTTTTGTAGTGAGGGTTGATTAGTTTTTCAATATCGGCAAAGAGAAGATGCTGGCTCTCTGATCCAAGATTCCCTAGATTCTCACCAGTGTGATTCACGTCAGCTGGCATAAAAACTAAATAATCATGGTATGCTGACTCACGGTTTTTTCCCTTATCAATCTTGCTCGGCGTCAAAGGCTTCACTAAATGAGATCCATCGGCAGGAGTATGGGGTTGACAACTGAAAGCGAAATTCGATAAACTTGGGTCGTTTTGAGAGGTCGCTGGGTTGTGTGAATCTTGAGACATGACTAATTGAGATGAGTGTAAGAATGAAGGGTTGAAATGAACAGATTAAGTCGGAAGAGTTTGTAGAAGGAAATATTGAGTCGCAGACTCTGAAGATGAAATTTGTGAAAAGTTTGTAAATTAATTATCGAGTCGCAGACTCGGAAGATGATATTTAAGAAGAGTTTGAAGTAATTATCGAGTCGCAGACTCGGAAGATGATATTCAAGACGATTTTGAAGCTGAAAAAAAAGTTTGAAGATGACAAGATGAATTTGAAAGTGTTTCAAGTAAGAAAGAATTGTAAGAGGTATGTTAAAACTGGGAGAGGGTCCGATCATTGAAAAGAATTGGTGACTTGAGGTTTGTAACATTGGGTGAGATTGGGGATTGGACTTAGAAAGGGGCAAGTGAGATTGTATTTCAACTTGCGGTGTCAAAGAAATAACTGTATCCTTTATAGCTAAAAGCAACTGTACTCTGCAAACTTTTGATCTTTCTTAGATCATGCGGTGAATATGTCTTCGTACGCTTCAGGCTTCAGTGTATCATCACCTGTGGGCCACAGGCTCTCTACAAGGGGAATTGTATAAATGGGAGCTTCCTGGCTTCAAAAAGGAGTGTGACAACAAGGAGGTGTCTTTTGTTGTGTTATCTGTTTAACGTCCTACTTGTAAGCGCGCTGCTATTTTATTGAATTTATTCTCATAAATACTCGTCTCACTTGAGCCAGTGACTCCCGAGTCCCAATCCAACTTTGGATTTTAACCTCACCACACAATAAGGACGCGTGTTTGATTACTCAATATGAATGGTGAATGTAAGCCGAAGTCATACCACACCACCAACATTAACTTACAGCTGATTCTGGTGTATGATCTGAAAACAGCTCTCCTTAGTACATCTTTGATCTTGAAAGACAACTGTACGGTCAAATCATTGAAAGCACAGAACAAAGAAGTAGCAGAATGGTTGCCGAAGCGAAATTCAGGATCTTATCGGGCCATCATTGATTACGTCAAGTTTTTGCTTGGACTCATCAAGTCTCGAACACCCTACCCACCCAGTCCAAATGCCATCGAAATTGCTCAACTTCCTCAAATATCACCTCAGCATATATCTTCAGATCTGAGGATATTTTCTTTAGGATCGCTTCCAGCTGACGAAACAACCAAGTCTTTTGCGAACCAGCTTCCCTGTTGGGTAACTTTCAAAGGACTCTTTCTTCAAGACCTAGTGATGTATCATATCCCCCGTGCGACATTGGCCTGGAGCTCTCCTGTGGAATGCAATTGGAATCAAGTCATGCTCGCTCTTCTTCTCAAGCACTGGCGATATGCAAAAGAACATGGAGCCTTTGCTGATTACTCCGTAGATCCGGCGCGTGTTGGTGATGCAGTAGTACAGGCTGTCATCGAGCGGTGGATTCGAGGACGTGAAAAGGGATCATCGAGATCAAGAATTCTCAAGAAGTGTGTTCAGAGAAGAAACACCGTGAGTAGAATTACAGAGTACACCCGATCTTTTGACGTTCTAATATTCACTGACAACTTGTTGTTCTGTCCAGCTTTTTTGTTACCGACAAGAAGCTTTAGAAGAATTGTTCTCAGCCATTGAACACAGGGAACTTCTTGTTGTAGCATTAGAGCTTCTTCCAAGTTCGGCATGCTGCTCTGAAACAGAAGATGATGGACCGGAGAAAGTGCGAGCCATAGGTTTGGTTTGGCGGAGTGAAGAATTTTCGGCGCTTCTTCAGCTCATTGACAAGCTTTCGTACAAACAGCAGGAAGCCTTACATGGAGCAAGATGGGCAGCTAACCGGCTGGACATGAGGAGACAGCCAGCTATTCAGATCAAATCTTCAGGTCGAGTTCCCCGCAATCTACCTGAGAATTGCTATTGTCCAATCTGGCGAGGAACACTAACAGATACAAAAAGACATCTTTTGACTCAAAAACCTCCCAGCGACTTTCTTTCTTTTATAACGTCAAAAATACATGCCGCACTCTGTTAGGTTGAAACAAAATTAGGTTGTTCGAATTTCTCAATTGTATCTTGAAGTTAGAAGATAGGTTTAGAGCGAGAGAACGATTTGCACTTTATATCTTTCAAAATTTCTAATAATCTATTGTCCAACTTTCTACTTTCTGTTGTATAAAAGTAAGTCAAATTTTAAACAACACATCAAAGAACTTGATCGATGATGCATTATAGAATTTAAGGAAGTCAGAATTGTAAATTGTAACAGAAATAAAACATGTGCTACGGGGAAACGGACATGATCACTCGGGTTGAGGTCTTGTGGGTTAAAACGAAAGCAGCACTACATGATAGATCACCCTATCCTTCGGTACTAGTCAGATTAATTGTACTCTATCCAAAATAATCAATTATCAGTTAAGATCTGTCTAGTGAAAATACAACTTGGGAACACTTACAATGTTTCTTAAACTGACGTAGCTGACAGTCTCTTGGTCAATTCCAAGGTGACCTGGTGGATTTTTCACGGCAACAACATGACCAATGAGATCCTGAGTGTCAACAATGACCGAGCTGTCTAGATTTGAGGACACCATTCCTGCATGCAGGCGGGGATGGGAGGGGTAAAAGTTGCGCGCGGAGTACTGGGTATCCAGTTCTTTAAAAGGGGCCACCGACAGAAATATTGATTCCATATTTTTGCTGCGGAAAGCATACCGGATACGACCAAAGCGATGTGTTCCTTGAATTTGGTATTCAATCAAGCTGTTACCTTCGTTCAGTTCCGAGTAAGCAGTGTATGATTTACCAAATATCGTAATTCGCTTGGTGATTTGTATCAATTTAGACAAGGGGCGATATCCTTGAGGGCGGTTGACTTCTGACCAAGTGTTGCCAATGTCCGTGAACACACCATTGTTGCGATGGACTAGAGCACACGAGTGAAATGCGGAAAGGGTGAGGGCCTTAGTATTTCATGAGACAACACAAACATAAGAAAAAGACAAAAGAAAACAAAGATAGACCTACCTAGAGCACACGAGTGAAATGCGGAAAGGGTGAGGAGAAAAGCCCTTTCCTGGTGTGGCTCTAGGAAGTCTATATACAAAGTTTGATACGTAAGCTTTATGTAATAGCTTAGTAGAAAGAGAACACAAGTAGATTGATCCGATGAGAAATAGCGATCACTGATCATTGATCAGAGGATCAGATGAGAAACACTAGATGGTCTACAAATGATGAGATGTGAAGGAAGATGGTAAGCACATCAATCGTGAGAAAGATAATGGAATACAGCGATGTTCAGGTAATGACGTCGTGACTATTCCAACACCCCCCCTTGCGTCCAGCTAACTTCACTGAGTATGAGAAAAAAAAAATAAACACACACAAATATACACTAAGAATGAGACAGTAAAAAAAAAATCAGACAAGAAGAGACATAATACAAAAACAGAGAAAGAAAAAAAATCAAACTATGCCAAACATGGCACGATGGCGTTCAAGCATCACTCGAGGAAGAGGTTTTGTTAATAGATCCGCAAGCATATCCTTGGTGGAAACGTGTAACATAGCGATATCATTATTCTTAACACATTCACGGACAAAGTGATAACGGGTGTGGATATGTTTAGTCCTGGCATGATGTTGAGGATTGCGAGCAAGAGCCTCGGCACCTTCATTGTCGACATGTAGTGGTATGGCTGAGGGAGGTCGTATATTCAGTTCAGCTAAAAGGTTTTTCAACCAGAGGCCCTCGCGGCAGGAATCAGACATTGCTTTGTATTCGGCTTCAGTGCTGGAGAGGGAGACAGTCGTTTGCTTGCGAGATTTCCAAGAGATGGGACCAACACCAAAACGATAGGTGTAGCCAGTGGTCGAGCGCCTGTCGTGACGGTCTTCAGCCCAGTCCGAGTCGGAGTATCCTGAAAAGGTGGCGGAACCCCCTAGCGTGAGACGAAGATCGGCAGTTGACACTAGATAGTTAAGAATTCGTAGGGCAGCAGTCCAGTGGGTGGAGGAAGGATCTCGTAGGAATTGGGATAGTCGACTAACTGCGAAAGAAATATCGGCCCTAGTGCATTGCGCGACCCAGAGAAGGGCACCGATAAGGCTTGAAAAGTGACCCGGAGACTTCATTTCACCTTCAGTACGAGGTTTCAGATCCTTGAACACAGCATCGGTCGGAGTCTTGACAGAGGGAGAACCTGATGGTAGGAATTGCTCAGCAATCTCTCGAATATAATGAGCTTGAGACAAGAAGACTTTTTGACCAGGGATATCACGACTGATGTCGAGTGACAGAAAGTGGGTCAATTCTTTATTGGACGAGATTTCGAATTTGTTGGAGATGGCTTTGATGATTTCGTTCACGAAAGAGTCTTCACCAACAATAGCAAGATCATCAACGTGGATGGCAACAGCACCGACAAGCTTCCCAGCGACAATCCGATAGTACAGAGTGGGGTCGTATTTTGACTGAACAAGATTAAGAGTGATAAGAAATTTGTGTAGTTCCGCGTTCCACAAGCGCGGTGACTGCTTGAGACCATACAGAGAGCGCTGAAGCTCGCAGACCCAATCAGGATGGTCAGGATCTTCGTATCCCTGTGGCTGAGTCATGAGAATGGAACCATCAAGGAGTGAATTCAAGAATGCCGATTTAATATCTATTTGACGGCCAACCCACTTCTTGAACGCAAGTAACGAGAAGACGAGTCGGAGAGTTTCAAGCCGGGTAGTAGGTGAGAAGATTTCTTGATAGTCGACTCCAGCTACCTGAGAGTAGCCCATGGCAACAAGTCGGGCTTTGAGTTTGTCCAAGGTACCGTCAATATTTCGTTTAACCTTGATACCCACTTGGACTTGATGATGTTACGCTTCGCAGGACGGGGGACAAGTTTCCACGTCTG